CTCCAACTTTCTCCAGGAACCCTTCCCAATTCTCTGTTCTTGACCTCACCTTTTCCAATCACAAGAACGGTAGAATTGACTGGCAAGCCCTTAAATCCAAAATAACCAACAGCAACCACTTCCCAATCGTCATAACAGTCGAAGGTTTAGATGCCTCCATTCAAGAGAAGAAAGTGCTGCACAATAGAATAAATCGTATTTTAGGAGCAAGCAGTTTTGCCAATCTGCAAGAGCTCAACAATAAGGTCAAATCCCTGACCAATAAGAACACAGTTACCATTCCCAGTAACAACAAGTATAATTCCACAAAATTGTGGAACGAGGGTATAGAGAGACTATTTCGCGTGAGAAATGCGTGCAGGCAAAAATACTATTACACCAAAAAATTTGAGGATGCCAGGGCCACTATAGAGGCCGACCGCAACCTGCAAAATGAGATCAAAAATTGCAGAAGGTCAAACTTCTCAAAGTTCACAGAAGAGGTTTCCTCTGCGCCCTCCATGTGGAGCAGAGTAAAGAACCTAAAGAAATACGGACAAGTCAAAAACGTAGGGAACACATGGACAGACGAAAACGTCAATGGCTTTCTAAAAATGGTCAAAGACATCCCCTCCACTGCAAGCAGTAGACCCCCAGAGAACATGCCACCTCTGATTGGACCAGGCGACCCCGAACCTTTAGACATGGGGGAATTTCTGCCCTTCCTGAAATTAAGGAACCCAAATTCGGCGAGATTCCCAGATGGCATTTCGTTCAGGATGCTGCAGCAGCTTCCTGTGGGGAAAAAACATAACATCTTTGAAATTATAAACAGGGTATGGCTCAGGCTCAATCAAGGTGGTACCAATCCCCAAGAAGAATGCGGACCCGCTTCCTTCCAAAACTACAGACCTATTTGCCTAATAAACACCTTGTTTAAGTCTATAGAGGGGTTGATAAAATTAAAGCTGGACGAACATATTACAAGGCACGAGCTTTTGCCGGTCAGATCCTAGGCCTTCAGGAGGAACAGGTCCACGGCGCTCTGCATCAACGACCTGATCAACGAGGTCCTGGCTCTGAAGGCGAGAGGGAATCAGGTGGTGGCGGCCTGACTTGACCTACAAAGGGCATTTGACTGCTTTGAGGCAAGATGCAACAGGCTTTACCTTACTTTCAACCCAGCCAAATCCAAAGTGGTTCACTTCAGCATCCGAAGAACCGAGCTGAACTTTGAGCACCAAGGAGTCGAGATTAGGTAAGTAGATCAGATAAAATATCTAGGCAGAACAATTTCAGCGAACAACTCAGCCTCTGTGCACATCGAGCAGGCCATTTCGGAGTCAAACAGAACCTGTGCGTTCCTAAGACTACTCAGTGGGTGCCATTACGGTATCAGCCCAAAGAGAGGGCTGATAGTTTATAGAGCCTTTGTCAGAAGTAGACTAGAATACGCTTGCTCGTCTTTCAGCAACTTGTCCAAATCCGCTCTAGCCAAAATCAAATCTCATTGTAACCACCTCCTTAGAAAGTCACTAGGCTTAATCATTTTCACCCCAATCCCGATTATTTACCACATGGCAGGAGAACTTCCCCTGGAATACAGAATGAGATTCCTAGCGGCAAAAGAGTTAACCAAGGCATTTGCGTACAGTCTCCCAGCGAGTAGGACGGTGTCCCTAAAGAGGGACATACCCGTAAAATCAAGACGTATCCCTTTTTTCCCGTGAGGACTGTGCCCCTCCGAAGCTCTGGATGATGTGACTACCTAGTCATCGATTGTCTGTGAGATCGCGTCGAAAGGATGTGCTGTCGAGTCCAAAGTATCTGTCGAAAATGTGCGTGTTTTGGAACAGTAGAGACAGGCGGCTCAACGAACGTTAACTTTTCCGGTTGGACCATGCTATTTCCCGAGGGTTTTCTCGTATCGCCATCCTAACGGACAGCAGAAACGGGGCTCTAATACTGGCAAGGAGCATTCAGGATAATTTTATCGCTTATAAAATCAGGGAGAAGATCCGTCAAGCCCAATACCTAAAGAAGGTAGCCTAAGAAGCACACAGACTGGGAAAATATACAGTCGTTAAATGGAATCTTAAAGATGCAATATGTGAGATACACCGAATACTGAAAGAAGAATGGGAGAGAGAGTATGCCGAGTTTGCCAGCGTTAAACGCAGAGGAAGTTGCTCACTTTTTCCCTCTACCTCAACAAAACCATGGTTCCTAAATAGAAATAAGCTAAAAGCCATTGACGCTAAAAGGATCAATAGACTGCTTAGCGGCAGTGCATTTGATAAGCACACACTTGCCAAAATGCACGTAGTCGCAAGTAACATTTGTGATACTTGCGATACTATCGATGACTCATCGCATATAATTTTTAATTGTACCAAGTACAACACAACAAGACTAAACTACCCATCGCTAAGGAAATATTTATTATAGATATTTAAGAAGCTTTTTCTTGTTTAATCGAGCATGGTTTGAAATTAGCTCAAGTAGCAGTTTTAACCTCATTTTGACATTGTTCAATGTATAGAGCTGCACCGCTAAAGGTGGAACGTTTCCGCCCGCCGGTTTATTAGGGGGAGATGGGTTCCCATCTGGACATTGTATTTTGGAGTTTTTTTTTTTTGATAATAATACCGATCTGGTCTGTATCCAGCATCCAGCATGCTTATAGTTCCAATATTAAATAGTGAAGTAACCCATGCGACAGAAGGACCCGCGTAGTCAACAGTTATCTTTACCGAGTTTTTGTAGTCCGCGCTAGCCCGTTCGGCGTCCTGAGACCGAGGGACCGTGCACTTCTGAAGCTACCACCCGGACAGTCGTAACTACTTTAGCTCTGTCCGAACAAAGACCCATTCGTATTGACCAGGTCCAGTTGCGAAGTAAAAAACACAATCAAGCTGATTTCCTAGGCAACTTGACGGCCGCAACGCATATGGAAACACTGAAGTCGTTTAAAATTACCCATATCCTCACGCTGGATTCGGTACCACTGCCGAAGCACATTTTAGAGGCTGGCTTCCTTACAACAAAATACATTCAAAGTAAGTGGAGCCGGACGTTATTGCTCAAGATCCCAATTGAAGTGAAGTGTGCCATTTTAGTTGCTGACATGCCGCGCGAAGACATATTGCAGCATCTAGAAGGCTGCGTGAACTTTATTAGTTCAGCTCTGGATCAGCAGGGCATTGTGCTCGTTCATTGGTAAGCATGTCATGTTCACATCGCCATCCGAATCAG